CTTTCCCTATTTGTCAGTACCCGGGTTCTTTGTGCTTCTTTGAAAGAGTTACTGTGTCCTTTATGCTTTAAAAATGTTTTAGTTGAGACACAGTAATTCACATAGCATGAAACTCACTGTTTTGAAGCCTGTAGTTGGTGGTTAGTACTTTCAGCAAAGACATGTGGCCGTCACTGTCAAGATTCCAGCACATCCCCGCCCCCAAAAGAAACCGTGTCCCTTCTTCCCCAACCTGGCAGCCACTAATCCACTTTGTCTCTGTGGATTTGCCTGTTCTGAATGCTTCCTGTAAATGGAATCATACAATATTTGGTCCTGGCTTCTTTCACTTAGTGTATCGTTTTCAAGGTTCATCCATGTTGTAGCAAGTGTCTGTACTTTGTTCTTTTAAAAAAAAAAATATTTGGCCTTGTTGAGTCTTAGTTGCAGGACGTGGGATATTCATTGTGGCATGTGGGATCTTTAGTTGTGGTGCACGGGCTCTAGAGAGCACAGGCTTAACTGCCCCGCGGCATGTGGGATCTTAGTTCCCTGACCAGAGATTGAACCCGTGTCCCGTGCATTGGAAGGCGGATTCTTAACCACTGGACCACCAGGAAAGTCCCCGTTCTTCTTTATATGGATGAATAATATTCCATTATAGATATGCCACATTTCATCAACTGCTGTGCATTTGGGTTGTTTCCATTTTTGGCTATTATCAATAATGTTCATAAACATTGTATAGGTTTTTGTGCAAACGTAATTTTTCACTTCTTGGGGATGATTAGCAGGAGCACAATTGTGGGGTCATGTGGTATCACGTTCAGTTTTTTAAGAAACTGCCAAACTCTTTTCCACAGTGGCTGGACAATTTTACAGTCCCTTGGCTGTGTGTTCCCCCACATCCTCAGTAACACTTGAGATTATCCACTGTTTTGATTCCAGTCGTCCTAGGGGGCGTGAAGTGGTGTTGTGGTTCTGATTTGCATTTCCCTGACAGCTAATGATGTTGAGAATCTTTTCACGTGCTTATTGGCTATTTGTCTTATCTTTTTGGAGAAACGTCTATTCAAATCCTTTGTCCATTTTTAATTAGGTTGTTTATTTGTCGAATTGTGACTTTTCATACGTTCTGTATACTAGTCCCTTGTCAGATATATGATTTTCTCCCAGTCAGCAGATTGTCTTCTTGCTTCTGTCCTTTGAAGCACAAAAGTTTTTAATTTTTTATGAAAGGCTCGTGAAGGCTGATATAACTTTGTGTGTGTGTGGGTTTGTGCTTTTGGTGACCTAAGAGATCACTGTCTAATCCAAGGTCATGGTTATTCACGTCTCTGTTTTTTCCTAAGGGTTTCAGTTTCAGCTTGTGCAGCAAGGTTTGTGTTGTGTGTGGTGTGTGTTGTGAGGTAGGGGTCCACGTCATTCTCTTGCATGTGGGTACCCAGGTGTCCCAGTACCATTTGTGGAATGCTGTCTGTCAGTCCTCTTACAGCCCAGGCACTCCCTTGGTGCTCGGCGTTCTCCAGGAACGGAGACGAGCCAGTTGCAGTTTTCCTGCCGAGGCACCAGAGATGGCCCCGGAACCTCCTCCTTCAAGCAGCAGAGCTGTCTGTAGAAAGCCCCTCAGTGCCCTGTCTTCTCCTGTACAGGAGACCTGGCCGGCCGTGCAGAACTGCTGGGGAAAACCTCTCTGAAGATCTGGAACGTGACCCGGACAGACTCAGCCCTTTACCGCTGTGAGGTGGTTGCTCGGCACGACCGCAAGGAGATTGACGAGATTGTCATCGAGTTAACTGTGCAAGGTGCGGGTGCACGTGGGGTGGTGGCCCCTGCCCTCGGCTCACGCGCCTGCCTGTGGGGAGAAGACCAGCTTCCTTCCTTCCTTTGCTTCTATGGTCACATCCCCGAGGGTGTGGCGCTTGGCGGGGCAGGGTGGGGAAGGGGAAGCTCAGGCTGCCTGCGTTGGGTTGGAGGTGAGGAGAGAAGGGGAGCTTCTGCCTCTTCTGTCCACCTGCTAGAGGGGGTGGAGGCACTGGGAACGCCGGGGGGTCACCTACGGGGGCAACCACAGGCAGCGCGAGCCGCAGGGGAGCGGGCCTGCCCGCGACGCAGTGTCTGGAGCCCGGCTGGCTCTCGTTTTACTAGGAGCAGGTTCATTGTGGGCTGTGGTAAGAACAGGGCCCTCTTGCTGACCGTAACCCCTGCCGTGCTTCTCCTGCAGTGAAGCCGGTGCCCCCACTGTGCAGGGTGCCGAGGGCTGTGCCTGTGGGCAAGGCGGCCACGCTGACCTGCCAGGAGGGCGAGGGCTACCCCCGGCCGCATTACAGCTGGTACCGCAACGACGTGCCACTGCCCACAGATTCCAGGGCCAACCCCCGGTTCCGAAACTCCTCTTTCCTCTTCAACCCTGACACAGGCACCCTGGTAAGTTCCCTCAGAAGGGGGGTG